TTGAGCCAGTTGTGTATTTGAAAGCTTTGTGCATCTTATGTATCTAATATTTATTTAAATTATTCTAACTAGGTGTTATTAATTAGCTCTATTTATTTATTTATTTTTCAAAAAATGTATTTGTTTATCTAATGTTCATGATTGATCTCCTTGGCCAAAGACATGTTGGTGCTTTTATAAAGAAACCTGTAGGAGAGGACAAGAAGATTTCAGAACTAAATATCAAAACAGCATCCAGAATGCACCATATTAAAGAATAATATACAGTTTAACTTGTTACACATTGTGAATAGGGGAATCTGCAGAAGGTTTAATGGATGTGAGTATTATTTTGTGTGTTCTGAGGTGGTTATTTTGTGTTTGACTGACAATATGCATGGGAAAGTCTATCTGAAAAGTCTTATTATGTTACATGAGTAACATGACTGCTGTGTTTTGCTCACATCATGTTAAAGAAATGCCAGTTCATGTCTTTCTATTTACTATTTTTTACATCAGTGTTTTAGGATGCCCATATATTCTGCTGAGTTCATAATGCTCAAGTAAATGCAACACCACAACACTGGCTGTGTCTATGAAGATGTCATATTTGAAGAAGTATTGATGTTGAAGGGTACAATCAATAATAGAAAGAGCAAAGCAATCAATCGTAATTAAAACTGAGTGTTGATGGTAAGATTAAAACGGAGTGCTGTTGGTAAGAAAGCTTTGCCACAATAATTCCTACAAGAAATAACAACAGTGGGACACCGTGCTGTGAATAAAGCTCGTAGTTTTCTGAATCTTTCAGTGTTTCTGTTTTCAAAAATCATTCAATAAAGCCCTACAGCAACATTTGATACATAGAAAATATATATGGTCGTGTGTGCTTTCCACGCATGCCTGAGAACAAAATAAATGTTTTAATAACATCAAGGCCTATTGTTTTATTTGCTTATAAAGATCTATAATGTGTTTTCTGTATATTTCAATGCATGCAACATCCACATTTGTACACTTACAAATTGTATTTTGCACAGGCTCTCTAGTAATAGTGCACCCAAAATGAACATTGTATCATTATTTACACACAAACCATAAACCCATATTCTTCTATATTTTAATGGAAAACAAAAGGAGAATACATATGCAAATGCTCAATTTCACAAAATCTTAATGATTCATTCAAGAATCAGACTGATACAGTTCTCAAGTTCAACTCACTGATTCACTTTTTAGTAAAAGCTCACAGTGAATAATAATATGTACAACATCAAAAAATTGAATGCACAAATCAAATTGACTACTTTTATATTTTATGGTATCTTTATGTTGCTTTTGAGTCCTTTTTGGAACTTTAAAGCTTCCCATTCATTGTAACTGCATGGAAAAGTGTGACATTTCGTTATTTGGGTGAACTTCCTTTACAACCATCAAGTCAGATCTCAATATAGTTCTTTCTTGTTACAAAGATTCACTTATTTTAATGAATGTTAACACATAATGGTCCAAGTTCTCATGCATTTGGCATGCACTACTATTGCATTGTCACATGCAATGCACAAACCACTTTACTTAGGTATAAATATTAAAGCGAATCATTCTGTCCCTATTTACAGGAGTGCTCAAATTATGTGTGACAGTATGTAGGTAAAAAACACATAATGGTCCTGTAAAGATGGTGGATCTTTTTCCTTTTTACAATAAATGATCTCTTTTTCTCTGTGTTGACACCAGAGGAACCATTAGGCCATTGCCAGCACAGTCTACTCACAGTCTGAACGCCTTAACACTAAACCTAGAAGACAGACGTGTGCGCTGGAGGTGAAGAAATGATGACATCTGATGATGGGGCAATAGGAGTCTAAACACAGGGTTGCTACAGAGAGACTGAAAGACTTGACGGAGTGAACATTCACCACCAAATTATCAGCTGCTCACACATCAATCAGCCGTCTGTCAGAAATATGGAATTATGACACAATTGCCGGCCTATAGATTCAGGGGCCACGAAAAGTTCAAGAACTTTTTGTGCTAGGGAATAGAATAAAATAATTGAAATGACGTATTTTCATTGTATTAAAGGGGTCATATGATGCGATTTCAATTTTTCCTTTCTCTTTGAAGTGTTACAAGCTCTTGGTGCATAAAGATGTCGAGATGCTGCTGTGTGTTTCGTTGTGAAAGTGAAACTACTTCGTTTGGCCTTCCAAAAGAGGACGATATCTGCTTCGTCATGATCGGCGGATCGGCTTTCACCATGAACGAAGCGGAGTCCAGCCCGGGGTCGTCACATGAGGTTGCCGCAAGCCCTCCGGACGCTCCTTCGTCGAATCCGCCGGCCACGCCGTTCTCAAGCTCACCGGCCTCCTCTCACTCTAGCCCTCCGTGCCCAAACTTTGTTTGGTCTTCCAAAAGTTGTAAGTTGTATTTACTTTAAATTTATTTGAAGAGTAGATGCAATGCCGGCTGTTCTGACTCACAGACTGTAAGTACGTTTTCATTTAAAGGATTTGCCGCTGATGATTCAAATACGCGTTTTGAGCAGTGTAGTGTTTGTAGTTTGTCATTTCTCCGATCATAAATGCAGACATGGTTTTATGTTAACATGTAAAAAGACAGTATAAGTAATTATAATCCGTAATTATGTCCCCACTGGATGCAACAAATGCCTCGTTTATAATGGGTTTTCATGTTTTTGAATCATCGCTCCGGCCTGACAGGGCATCATCACAGTATGTGAGGGGCGTAACATTTCCGTCACATGCTTGAGGTATTCGGCCAATCACAACGCATTAGATAGCTGGCCAATCACAGCACACCTCGCTTTTCAGAACGATGAGCTTTGTAAAAATCCACACGTTTCAGAAAGGCGGGGCATAGAGGAGAAACAATGTACAGTATGTGGAAAATAATGTGTTTTTTTTTACTTTAAACCACATAAACACATTTCATTAAACCAAATACACAAAATAATGTTCTTTTTAGCAACATCATATGACCCCTTTAAATGAGAGATTCGGCCGGGTAACAGTGCTCATGTAATAACATGTAATAATAGTACTTGTCTAGTCATCAATTTTATTTATTATTTTAGAGTCATCATCATCTTCAGGAAGAAAAGAACCAAATTCCAAGCACTGCAGCCTCTAGAACATGAGCTTATTGCTTATATGGGTTTATATCTAATGTTTGCATTGTTTTAGTATTGTTTTTGACGAAGAACATTTAAAAAATCTCTTAGGTCTCATAGCAAATTTGAACAGTTGCAGGTGCCCACACTGACAACCAAAATGTTAGATTAGTCAAAAGGTCCTTTTCAATTTCTGGGTAACTGACGTATTGTAGAGTCAATGTTGTCTGTGTATTTTTGACAAACACTGCCACCTTGTGCCATATGCATAGTCCTACAGCCAAAACTCTGATAACAAGAATGAGGGAATGAGGTCATTTGAATGCTATGTGTCTGTGTGTGTGTGTGTGTGTGTGTGTGTGTGTGTGTGTGTGTGTGTGTGTGTGTGTGTGTGTGTATATATACACAT